CAGGATAGTGTTATTTTCAGCATCACATACCTGATGGTCCAGTGCTTGTGGAAGCGCAAATATCCTCTGTCTGTGTCTCACACTCCACTTCTATTGCAGTCTCATCTTCCTAATTCTCAGGATCTTCATTTGTATCCCTTTCCTGCTCTGAGTCCTCGCTCTGAAAATAAATGAATCCCGTGTCCTCTGACTCTCCCTCTCTGGTGCTTTCAACTTGCTCCTCTTCAAATCTCTCACCACTATCATCATCTGACTCTCTCTCTGTGTCTGGATAAATGTGTTTCTTTTTCATATAGAAATATGATGTAATGTCAGTTTTTCTTTTGATTTTTAACGTTAAATGTTTAAGTGAAGAGGAATTAGACTTAAAAATGCTACTGTTGGGGGCTTGTTTCGTTTTGTGATTTTACATTGAAAATATAAATCGTGTCGTGTCAAAATAGCACTCGTGTCGTGGTAATCTGCTCTGCGGACTGCTTCTCATTTTCCCGCTCAATTTGAAGTGGTGCAGCACACTAAAGGGTCCGACTAGAATGTTAAGCCACGCACTTTGGTTCCACCTTTCGTGTCTGCAACTCTGCGCCACTGCGTAATCTACGTTCGGAGGGGGGGCCACAGGGGGGGCCAGAGTCAGTGCTACAGGGGCACTGGCCCCCGTTGGCCCCCCCCCAGAACCGCCACTGCATGGATGGCAGGCAAGTCTTTGCACGTTTATCAGTGCAAGCAAACAGGTGATTACATGTGAATTCCAGACTCCCATTAATCATCACCACAGAATAATGAAAACAATTTGATCCTTCCATTCCCATTATTTTACACCAACATTCAATACGATCTCTTTCCTGCTGTCTTTGCATGGGCCTGTCAGGCAGCTATCTGATTAAGTACCCAAAATTTGGGCGGGGCCGTTCTATTGCTCAAGAGCATACTGGCACTTTTTGGTCATTAATACTGGAATTGATATCATTGAAAATGAGACGTATGCGTCTGCAAGCACAAGAGCAGCATTGCTCACCACTGTTGTGTGTTTTCTGACTGAGATGGTCAGCCAATCTCAAATCATCTTAAAATTGTTTGCTTTTGATTTGCACCCCGTCCTTCCCTCACTAAATGGATCATGCATGCATTTGTGGTTTGATTGATACAAAATTCAATTTATTTATTGCTTTAACATTATTTGATGATATTTTTTCCAATGGCCTCAATGTGCTCTGGGACAAATGTTATCTGGTCATGTGCAAGGCATTTAAGGTCACAAGGAACCATTTCACATCGATTTGAAACTAGAACACTGCTAATTTTGTCGACATTATTCCTCAAGGCTGTATTTTCTGGGGGATTTTGTTGTAGGAACAGACAGACGCTATCACTTTTGATTTAAGTCAAAGTGCTTAACAATCTTACTTACGGCCTGCAGGGGGCAACTTGTGTACAGTAGATACTGAAGAATTCTGAGATGAACCTTCTCTGATGGGTTACTCGGGTGAACGATCGTTGTCAATAAAAAAACAACAATTTTCCAATTCAGTGTGTTGTTTGATGGTGCAAATTGTAGTTCAAATTAGAGGTTACATTGTGACCTTGATATTTTTACACATTGAACTTATTTGTGTCTTCACAGGGGATGGTTGAAGGTGGCAAAACCCCATTTTAGGTGACGTACTGTGGCGAGAACTAAACAGGCATTCCCTTATTAAAGGCCTTTGGTAGAAAATTTTTTTAGAGTCCCTGCAAATTCATCCTGTTTGTCATGATGGAGCCTTACTGACAAAGCAGTAAGTGAATACAATGCTGTGTATTAAAGTGAAAGTGTTTTCCTGCTTCGAAAAAAAAAACGTAAAATGATACAGACATAAATGTCGTCTCATTGGGTGGCATGCATATCTTAGGCACAATAGTTCTGAAAGGTGAGTGTCACAGGTTAAACACAATCTTCTCTTGGTTGACCTCCAATTTGTTTGGATTTAGTGACCAATTTTCCTATGCGAAATAATAAAATTTGAAATAATGTGATTAGCTGGCAACCAGTCGAGGCTGTCAGCTTCCTCCCACCCAAAGACAACTGGAATGCGTTCCAACTCACAAAACGAATGGCTGGATAGAAATGGAAGCGATCCGTTCTGGGGTTAAACTGCTGCCCATAAAATGTTTATTGACTGCACATGTTAAAACAAACATTTGAACATTTTTACCAGTCGAGTTTACCTGCTGGTGATCGTAAATGAACAGGTAATCTCATTGAAAAAGCAACAACAACAACATGAATGCCAAATGGTGACGTCATAATGCTCGGGTGAGTCGTGGCAATTCTTGACTGTCACACCACTGTAAAACATTAAAACAAACTGTCATAACAAGTGATGACTAGCCAGACAAGCTGTGCGTAGCGCTAGCGGTCAAATCCATTGCTTCGGCTCCTGCTACTTCACCTGTACGATTCCACTCACTTGTGCAAGTACTGGGACACCCTGACGTCTTCTGACTGCTTTGGCTGATTAATTTTTTCTATACAGTTGATATACTTTATCAACTGTATATTTGGTATTATCGGGGAGGCATGGCTTTGTGACCATGTCCAAGTGTCCTTGAGCAAGATACTGAGCCCCCAGTTGCCTCTGATGCTGCGTCAGTTGGCGAATGTGGAAATGGTGTTCAAGCACTTTGATTACCGAAGGTAGAAAAGCACGATACAAGTGAAATCCCTTCTTCTGCTTCTCTACAGGTTTGTCAGGCTCCTCACCATTCTCTGAGACAGGAAGTTCCAACCTCAAAAGTGGTGGGCCTGGATGGAGTGCTGAAACATGGTGAGTGCGTTCACCGGAAACATTTCAAACAATCTTTTTTTACTATTCTTGAATATTTGCCGTTGCTGATGAACTCAGTCCATTTATCAGTAATTTTGTGAAAATGAGGGGAATTATTACCGGTATTTATTTTGCAAATCGATTTACAGTGTGCGCCCCAACTATTTGCACCCCGAAAATTTCAGGTTAATGGCCACTGTGAGTTAAAAAAAAAAGTAAGTCAGGAGTCCTGGGTCTTCTGTACTCTTTTGAAGGTCCTGCATGTAGTCAGTCAAACTTGGCGCGGGTTCACAGTCCGAATAAGTGGGGCTGGACAGCGCAGCACCACCACCGTTCATCCAGTAGACTCCCAGTGTACTCATGTTGCTTTAACAGATGCAAGAATAAACATCTTGTTAAGTAATTTAATTTACAGTGTCAATTCAAACTGAGAATATTTTTGATCCGGGTTTGTCTTGAATCTTATTACAACTGTACGGTTTTGTCACACTCCGAATGACTTTTTTAGGCAACATATTTTTCGAGCGAACATCATGAAAACTGTTATGAAGACAGTTACAAACAAAATAACAATAAAGATTTGTCCCAAGTGAATCCCTTTTATGTGGTGCGAACAATACAGTGAAGAACTTTTCAAATACTCTTCGATAGGGATACTGCTGTCATCGGTGACGCATTTGGTGAGATCAATATCAGGCATTTTAATCCTGGAATTATTCAGGGCGCTCAGCCAATTACTGTCACAACAGGTTAAGTCATTTCCACTGAAATACATAACATGGAGGTGTGCTGATAACGCCAGAATCAACGAGTAGTTTACAGACACAAAGGCATTATTCCTTATGCTGAGTTCTCTCAGAGGAGAGCAATTTAAATTATGCGGTAAGGCAGTTAGACGATTGTTGGATATGTTCAGATGCATTAGCAGTGGCATGCAGGGCAAAAACAGTTCGGAATTGGTCACATTCAATTCACTGATCGTCAACGACTGAAGAGTTTCTTTTATGTCCTCCAATGAGTCAACTCGCATGATCATGTGAGAATTTCGAGCTAGGTTGAGAGACACCAAAGAACTTTCCCGAAATGCATTTGCCGGAAGACTCTTGATGTCGTTGTTTTCAAGGCTCAGATGTTTGAGAGTTTTTAATTTTCCAAAGGCTATACAGGATGAGTTCAAGTTGAGTTGCTGTGATGATAAGGAGCTGGGCATTTGGCCCACGGGAGCGCAAGGCTGCACCGCGTTGTCTCGGAGATTTATTGTCTCGACTTGTGTGAGCGCTTTGAGAAAGAGTGGTGAAATGGATACGAGTCCATTGCTTTGCATGTTCAGGTACCTTAAGGAGGGAAAATAAAGCTGCCTGTAGTATTTAGATGCACTCTCCTGTCGGACGTTCCATGTGAGCTTTTGCACGCAGTTAAAACTGAAATCGAGCCCTTCCAAAGTTGAGAGAAGGCTCAATGTTTCCAGTGGAAAAGATGTGAAGTGGTTATGGCTGAGGTCAATATGGAGCAGTGGCATCAGTCTCCAGGTTGAGTGGAGATGATTTTTTCCGATTCTCACATCATTCATTCTGACCACTTCGTTATAAAGGGCATTAGTCTCTGATACCATCGATTCCTCTGAAGTTAAAGTGCCCACAACATTATGTTGCAAATAAAGGAATTTCAATTGGTTACGTTTTGGGAGAATGGGGAAATAAAGCAGTTTGTTATGACTAAGGTCAAGTGTTTCAAGAGAGTACATGTGGTTATCCTCAGCGGTAACAAAGAACTCGATGGAATTTCTACTTAGATTCAAATATTGAACTCGCTGTAATTTAAAATCACATATGTGAGCAAGGTTATTTTTAGCCAGGTTCAGCTTTTCTAGTTTTCCGAGCGCTTCGAATGTTCCTTTGTCAATCGCTGATATCAGATTGGCATCGATATTAATGCTCCTGAGGTTTTCACTCTCTTTGAACAAGTCGTGTGTAAGCCATGTTAAAGAATTCCCACTCATCTTCAGTTGCTCAAGAGAGGATTTGTTTCGTAGATACAGTTTGACTGCTTCGTTCCCCAAGTTATTCCAAGATATGTCCAAACTCTTCAGTCCACCGATGGATTGTAGGCCTTTGCTGTTTCTGTCAAGGTTGGTGTTCAGTGCATTCATGGACAGATTCAACTTCTCAAGCACAGCCAGGTCTCTTAGAGCTCCCTCAGAGATGAGCTCCAGCTGGTTGCTGCTGAAGTCCAGCTGCTCTAAGTACGGCAAATCAACTTTGTGCAGCCGTCTGATGAAGTTATTGGACAGGTCAAGGCTTCTCAATCGTACATCCAAATCCGGAGGGATGGAATCAAGGTTCTGGTTTCTCCAAGATTGCTCCTTGAAACCAAACATTAATCATCATCAGTGCATACTTTTAAGATCATAGAAAAAAAAGTGGATACATATTGTACATGAATAGATATAGTGAAGAGGTTTAGAATTTCCTTTCCTTCAGCCTACCTTTGGACCGTCATCCATTTTCCCGGTTATGTACAGGCCGAGTGACCATAGAAGGAGGAGATAAGCAAACATGTGTTTGACCATGTTTCCTCTGCACTTCCAATGCTACTGTCATCCTCTTGCACACCCTTTTTACTGTCACGCCCCATTTAAAAAAAAAAAAAAAAAAATGGAAGGAAGAATAAACAGCTGTGGACAGCAGATAGGCTTCGGGATGCTATTTTTAGAAATATTATGCATGGAGGGCAAATAATGGCCTTTTACACAAAGAAAATTATCATGTTTTATGACATGTTGGACTCATTGTATTGGACCCACGCAAAAGCAGGTTAAAGGTTAAAATGTAACCTTTCTGCAGCAATGTATATCTTGTACAATATTTTGTATTATCCCACTTTATGTGTGAGTTAGTTTTATGTGGAAAGGATTATGATTGTATGTGCTTCTTTATTGTTGAAATGGAAAAATTGAAAAATAATTTAAAATAAGCTCGCGAAGAACAAATAATCAAAGTATGGACAGGGGTGAAAGCCACTGACATGGTACAAAGAGGCTGAGGTGTTAGCAGAGATGAGGGTCACATGTACCAAGGGAGCTAGAAACCATAATTCTTTCAAACGCAAGTATTTTGTTCGAATTACCTTATTGGCCCGAATATAAGACGGCCCTGATTATGAGACGACCCCCTCTTTTTCAAGACTCAAGTTTGAAAAAAGACTTTTTGAACACCAAATTAATTTTTATGCAGAAAATAATTACAGTACATCTGAAACAAATGATTATAACACTATATTTTAGAGGAAAAGCATGTTATTTTGCTTCATTCAAATCTTAATATCTGAACATTTAAATATGTAAACTAAAGTGCAATCACATTCATAAATGAATGGCTTCTGGTTTTTGAAATGTAAATACATCATAACTTCTCCTCAGCTGCCGGTTAACTTGGCCGATCTTCGACCCACTTTTTTCCAGATTGTCGCTACGTTTCTCCATTTTCTGTTATCTCTTCTATTATTTTCTTCTTTTTTCTTTCTTACCTCTATTTTTTATTTTTCTTCTTCGTGCTACCGCTATTTTTATTTTTATTCTTCGTGGCAGGGGTTCACTTTGGCCTGGAGAGTCAAGTTCAGCATTCGCTTCAATGATATCTGGCGCCATCTAGCGTCCTGAATGGGTATAATGTCTAGACCCCTAATATAAGACGACCCGCACTTTTTCAGTCTTATTTCAATGCAAAAAACACCGTCTAATATTCGGGCCAATACGGTAGTATGATTCATATAACTGCTAAAACTCATGTGGGCATTTATTTGAATTTGGATCTCAGAGGCAACAGTTTTCGCTGCTCCTGTCATCCATTTGTTATCATCTCACACAGTGCCACTTCTCGCATCCTTCAAACAGGCTTCAACCTTATCTTCATCGGTTTGCTGTATGGAAATGAAAGCTTACCACTTGTTACTTACCACCCCGAGCAAGGGTTTTGTGTGTGTGTGCGTGCGTGTGTGTGTGTGTGCGTGTGTGTGTGTGTGTGTGTGTGTGTCTGTGTGTGTGTGTGTGTGTGTGTGTGTGTGTGTTTTACTTTCTAATTTATCCCGAACAGATCCACTTAACTGTAGCAGAGGATACAAATATCTCGGTACCATGTATTGTTTCCAGGTATCCAAATAGACATGAGACGACTGACTTTTCTTTCGGGTTCTCTCCAGTCACCAGCACATGATTTTTTAATTGTGACAAAATGGCCCAGGCAAAAGCCCCGATTTGTATCTGGGCAATGACAATTTTTGGTTGTTTTGTCCCATTAGCAAAATTGATGCATAAAAGGTCAGAAACGGAAGACAACCACAACTGCATATAAAATGATTATTTTTATTCTTGCAAATGAAAGATTATTTTGAGTCTCACAGACATGATGTTTTCTCCCTCACTAAGTCACTTGCAGCTGCCTGCTTGAAAGAAAATTCCCTTTCTTTGCCTCAAAAGAGTTGTTATCTGGATCATGCACAATAAAATGTAATCTATTTTAATGTGAGGCGCCATAACGAGTGGTTAACACATTGACCTCACAGATCTTTTTATTTCCAAAATCATGCATCTTTGCTTAATTAAAGACTCGGAAGAGCCCTGTGTGAGTGTGAGTGATTGTTTTTCTATTTGCACCCTGTGATTTGGGTGTACCCCCTCCTCTCGCTCCAAGTCAGCTGGGATAGGCTGACAATTAATTATACGTCAAGCCTCTTGGTAGAATTCTTGACTTGTTTAGATATTGTCAGCTATTTCCCTCAAAGGAAAGAGTCTGTGATCTTCCACTTTACATTTAAGTTGTCGTCAGTGGTTTTCCAGATCCTTTGGTATTGAAATGCTGGCCCGCGAATTCCTTGCCCATTATAGACTCTGTCTTCTCAGATTTCTGCTCATTTTGGGTCTGTTTCACAGCTAAATGAGACTTTTCGCTTACATTAACAACTCTTTGGAGTACACATTGACAGTTCTCAGGAACGGCTATTCATTCATTCATTCATCTTCCGAACCGCTTTATCCTCACTAGGGTCGCGGGGGTCGCTGGAGCCTATCCCAGCCGTCTTCGGGCAGTAGGCGGGGGACACCCTAAACCTGTTGCCAGCCAATCGCTGGGCACACAGAATCGAACAACCATTCGCGCTCACACTCACACCTCGGGACATTTTTGGAGTGTTCAATCAGCCTGCCATGCATGTTTTTGGAATGTGGGAGGAAACCGGAGAGACCTGGAGAAAACCCACGCAACCACGGGGAGAACATGCAAACTCCACACAGGAAGGCCAGAGCTGGAATTGAACCCGGTACCAGGAACGGCTATCCAATGCAAATTCTTAATTTTGATTCTGCATCTAATTTATCAAGGGTGACCTCTTGACGTGCTTTGCTCATCTGTTCCAAGTAGTGCAAGTAATTGTTGAGCTCCTCCCTAGTGCTGTGCCACCCCTGTCTTTAAACTACAAATAATCCTTGATTTATTTTGGCACAATACCTATATGTACCCCCCCCCCTCCCCCCAGCACACACACACACACACACACACACACACACACACACACACACACACACACACACACACACACAGATAACCATATTGCCATCTCTATTTATTTCACAAATTTTAGGTTATGGCTCCACTATCAAAAACAGCTCACAGCTCTGTGTGTTCCTCTTGATTTAATCTCTGATGAGATTACAGAGTCAGAGAGTAGATCAGACAGCATTAATTTCCAAGGAAAATAAAGCATTAAGAGAACATTGTGTGACCTCAGTGTCTGGATCGTCACTAACGGTTTAACTCTCAGTAGTACAGCATTCATCTTGACTCAATTAGTGGACCCACCTCTTCCTTCCTTATTTTATTCCCTTAGAATTGATCTTTTCTGAATGCATTTGTTTGTTAATGCGCTCTCTTGCTTTTTGCCACAAACATATTCACCACCAGTGACCAAAATATGACAAGAATATAATTTCTTTTCAAACGTTGGATCTGTGTACCAAGAAAAGTAGGAGACTAAACCCTGGATGTGATATACTGATTTCGGAAATGGGGGGAAGTCACGCAGCTAACAAACTGTAGATTATGGCTTAGAAATGTGTTTTTAAATGGCACTAATATATTAAGTACCTCTCCAGTTTACAATGAAGGTGGGTGGGGGGGGGGGACACACAATGTTTAAGGGATAAATAAAGACGATGGGCCCTGACAGCACACCACTTTGGTGCCCATGCCAGATGAGTTCCACATGAAACTGCTAAATCAGTAACCATAGGCTACTTGATCAGAAATGACACACATGCCTTTAGACAGAACAAACCATTTTAATCTTTCAATCAACTCAATTTACAAAAGTATATCCCATTTTTATATACAATATGTACACAGACGTATAAAAACCCCCACATAATTTCCCACATGTATGCATTCATACGGTAAGTCAACAATAGCACTGTCACAAAAAATATCACTGATATTCTGCAGGGATATTGCTGTGCAAAATGTGCGCAAAATATATAGTGCTGTTGCTCTGGGAATACCTTTTGACTCCAGTTGCATGGATTTTCTCAACTTTCTTTTTTTATTAAATTTCGCACTTGAATTTTTTGCTCTTTATGACAAATCACATCTAGGTATTGATACACTTAAATTAAGTAGTGTACAAATACATCAAAATATGACCACATGCTTTTTGGAGATACAAAATTACGATTCAACAGCATTTCATTGTGAATCTAAAATACCAGTTTGAGCAGTATCCTTCCTAGTTATTAAGAGAGAGAGAGAAAGAAGAGAGGCGGGTCGCTATAAATAGTGACATTTGTTTGATGAGCAAACAGACATTCAGCTCATCATGACCAATAGCACTGAATCAGTGGAAGCACAAGCAGAACAGTCACATAATGTCCTCTTTTCTACTGGGCTGTGACTGTGAGCTTGAGTGATCCTCAACCTTAATCACCTCACAGGGTTTCAGTGTCATCCGAGCAGGCTCTCACTGGGCAAAACGGGAAGCTTTCAGACACAAGTCTAACCATGTCTTGAAATACACACACGCACACACACACACAGGCTGACGTTTGCAGTTATCAATTCTGTCCAGCAGATGGCACCTCTCCAAGTCTGACACTCCCCAAGAAAGTGGTGTGGTTGGTCATGCTGATGAGCGTGTCCTCATATACTATGCGAATGGATATTCTCTGGCCAGCACGCAGCAGGCTCACCCCAGCTGTGTAGCAAGTGTTGAACTTGCGCTGGCCTGTCTCAATACTGCAAGTGCAGCGGAGAAACGGGTTGGCGTCCACCATTACCTCATAGCTGGCGATGTCTGTGAAGTTGAGGTAGTACACCTGGTGAAGAGGTAAAATTTATGAAAGACTGCGGCGGCACGCCCAAACAAGACATATTGTGTCCAGTTGAAACAGTTGGGTAGTTGAGTAGCTGACATGAGATTCCATTACAAATCGTACATTTAGACATGGATGGAAGAACAAAAATAAGTTTCAACATTTTGAACTATACGGCTAAAAAAAGGTAAGCAACTTGGATCTTGAAATCACCACTGAATTATAAGAGTTACGTCAAGGACCGTACTCACTTCTACCTGACTATAGATGAAGTAGACACCGTCCAATAGCACCTCTAGCTCTCCAGAGCGAGAGTGCATTTTAAACACACGGTGATGGATGGACACCATTTTCCAGTTTTTGAGGATGCCTTCCGAAAGATCTAAACATGTCAAGCAAGAAAAACAAACAAACAAAGGTTCAGCGTAGTAATGAGTGGAGTTCACAGTTGTTTGCAGTAGTATAGAATCCAGAAAATTACGTTACTCCATGAAAGGGTCGACATATAGAAAATCTTGAACATAATTCAGAGTTGGTCGTTCTCCACGATAGCCCCAATAATCATCATCCACTACAACAACCTATAACCCACCTTCTCTCACTTGGATGGTCGTTTCCTGCCCTTGCAAATGGACCACTGCGGGCTGAAAAGTAAAGATGTCACGTCATTGACATCAGTGTTGTGTGGGACATAAGTATTTTTGGAGGTAACACACTCTACCTGGAATTCTTTTATTTTTGTCTGATCAGGAACTCCTACAAGAAACAAGACATGATGGGATTCTGGCCAATACCGCGGCAGTTTAAGAAAAGATGACACCATTGTGACTGAATCAAAACAAGCAATGCCAAAGACTGTGGAGACATCCCTGCAATCCTTCACAATGTTTGACATTTCGCATGAGAAAATCTCACTGTTCAGCCGTTTATCCATTTTGACAACCCGAGCCTCCTCCAAGCGTGGGAACATGGCTACATGCAGGCTCATGCCGTGTAATCCAAGAACGGGCCGCAAGACTCGAGTTTGGGCTATTGTAGTATTGTAACCACTCATTTTCTTTTTTTGAACTTGGTACCTGCTGGGCCTTGGGCGCCTGGAGGCCCCTGTGGCCCAGGGGGCCCGGGAGGTCCTGCAGGACCCACGGCATTGCTTCCTGGGATCCCTGGGATTCCGGGGATCCCCGGTGGGCCCTGGGGGCCCGGGGGGCCGGGAGGACCAGGGGGGCCCGGTATGGCTCTTTTCTTGCCTAAGAAGATAGAATGCAAAGTGGTCGGCAAATGGTGCAAGTCAGTTATTTGACAGTGATGATCATAAAGGCTTTTGTACATCTGCCCAACAGCCAACACAAAAAGGTAGATATTGATGCGGGACTCATAAACGGCATGCGGACCCTGGATAGCCGAGTTTTAGGAACGTGGCTGGTATTGGAAAACAATGGTAACTGCAGTTACGGCCACAGAAGTTGACTCAAAAGCAACTACAGCAGACTTCTCGGTGACTAACAATTTTGCCTTTGAAGTTTTGCTGGTGACCTTGATGACTAAGAATCGCCAAAAACTGGATCTGTAGTCTAGCCTCCCCTCGCGCAACCCTCTTCCGATCACCCAGAGGACTGAGCATGTCTATTTGATTACCTTTTTTCTTTTCTTTCCTTTTCTCTTTTCCTGTCGATTCTGAAAGACAAGGAAAAAAAACCCCTAAATGATTAAGCTTGAAGTTCTCTTTCGACCAATCATTATCTAACATTTCATCTCGAGGGTCCAGTTTATTCCGTGTAGGTATCCTCCTCTCTATGCTGACAAATTGGGCACTGAGCACTCAAGTTAATCCTGTGGGTTTGTCGAGTGTAGCAATTTGTTAGTGTGGTTTCACCTCATCTGTATGAACAAGTGCCTTAAGCATTCACAGGCAGTGGAACTGGAGAAGATCATTAGAGAGATACTTTATCCTGCCAAAATCCTTTTCGTTGAATTAAGCCCAGATGGAGAATGCAGATGAAAGTGTGCGAATGTGCATGTGCGTTTATGTGTCTTTATTTTACAGGCCATGTGCATATGTGTGCCTGCAGACGGTGGTGGGGCATCTATGTCAGTGCGTGAAAATACCCTGAGCATGCCTTTATTTGCGTGTGTGTGCGCGCACGCACCCAGATTAAGAATTCTTTTCAAAAGGCCGTCTCGCTGCTCTTGTGTTTACCATGTCATTACGACTACAAAGGCCATTTAACCTTAAAACCTCACAGTTTGAGTCCCCTGTGAACATATGGCCAGAGTTTCTCCTCTGGCTACATGACTGGATGCATCCGCATACATTTTTCTTAACGAGCAGCACTATCTGAAATCTGGTGCCCGTTAAGGAGGGCAGAGAACACACATTGCCGCACGCACACACGTACATGCACGCACGCACACACACACACACACACACACACACACACACACACACACACACACACACACACACACACACACACACACACACACATCTAAGGCTAGGATTAGAAATGCCTTTGTCTGTGTCGTACGAGCAGCTGAGAGAACTGGGAATGATTAGTGTTTAGAGGCTCGGGACTTTACTGATTTATGTACAAAGTCTGAAAGGTGAGTTTTTTCTTCTAAATTAAACTCAATCACCCCCCGCCCCCCACCCCCACCCAAGTATTTAATGTCACGCCGCAGACATCGGAATGCCTTGTGATCATGTAGCACTTGTTGCTTTCTCTCATGAAACTTCAAAGCGTTTGCCAGATATATATTTTTTTTGCATAGCTAACATTCTAAACAAAAAAAAGCTACTAACGCTAATTCAAACATATCAGTCCATGTGGTTTGCTGTCGAGCCATCGATGATGATGAATCAGTGCCGCCGGATTTATGAAAGCCACTCGCGTCTCAGATGATGACCGCCTTTTTAAATTATTGCACGGTTGACTGAAAAAGGGCATATTCTTTGAAACTGTGCTTATTATATGATCGTATTTACTGAAAGTGGATATTGATCCATAACATGGAACCTATCCGCGCAATGGAAATCCCAAAAAGATGTCTCCGGGATGTAATATTTTAAGAAGGGGGAAATCAACACCGGTGTAATATTTTAAGAAAGGGGTAAGCAACACTGTTTTTTCTGTGCCTTGAAAGCTGCCCATGACCTGCTTGCATCCAAATAATAATCAGTCCCATTCTGTTTTGAAATTTAATTATGCATGCTGCATTTTTCCAGCAACAAACGTGATACAACAGCTTTATGATGACGGTAAGTTTAAAAAAAAAAAAAAAAAAGGTCGACCAAATGTGACAACCCACTAACAATCTGTTTTTAATATTTGAAAGACTTATACCTGTACATCAGCCTCTTATTTACATGAGTGAATCATCTCCAAAGAAACAAAAGTTCGAGGAAACATTTATCTGACAACAAGCTAAAGAAGCCTGCAGGGGTATTTGTTGTTTTTTTCCCCCTCTATAATAAAGGGAAGGGTTTTCACTGAAGAAGAATAATGCCAACTATGGAATAGCAAATACCTGCTTCTGGCTGCTTGCCGGGACTTCTTTTCTCCCTTTGAGTTATGCCTCGATTGTCTTCAGTGGCAAGGATGTCTCTATTTCTGTGCAGTAATTGCCCCTAGGAAAGGAAAAACAGACACCAATTATTTCCCGTTCTTTCATTCATAGAGTCGACATTTTATTGTAAAATAATGCCGTTGCCTTATGTTCTTCCTTCTCAAGATTCCGTTTTGATTCTTGACGGTTCCGGTCCAGCCGTATTTGTTGACTGGCTCTGAAACCTATCCTGTAACTTAAGCCACCTTTGTCTATCGTTTAGCCGCCCTGCGCAGCCGCTTTGTCCCGAACATGCTCATATACAAAAGGAGGACAAGCATTGTGTTTCGTCTGAGATCATTGCCCATTCTTATGCCAGCTGGTCCCATCCCTGCACAGCTACAGCGTGAATGGACTCATGTGAGTCGATGAAAGGACTGACGTAGCTGGCGTGAAATCACCCTTTACAAGAAGAATGCCAGTAGGGAGTGTGTTCTCAGGAGTCAACATGCCCTGTTTTGCTCTTTGACTGGGTCTACTCGAGCTACAGTCATGTGAACTTGAGATGACGCGCTGACCTGAGTGTTGAAACGTTCAGATAAAAATCAAACTATGGCAGCGGAATGTTTCAAGTTTGGCTTTGGAGCTCTGTTCCAGGCTCAGAGCAACCTGTCTGCGCAAAGTACTTTCATTGTACAGAGCAGAGCAGGAATATCATTTTCCCATTTTTTGGATCAGTAGCGAGTCTTTTGCACATCACAACAGTTTTTCAAGGTCAATAGCGAGTCTTAACCTTTCCGCCTTCCGCCTTCTCTCCCCCAAAGCCGGGAGTTGAGTCTTTACAGATTGCTGCGGCCCAAGTGACTCGGTGGAAAAGGAAAGAGTTCAAAGAAGTCATAGTGTTTTAACAATGGAAACACAAGACCACCCATTCATCAGCCAACATTTCAGTCCAACATTCATGTATGCATTAATGGTGGTCCAAGACCGAGAGGCTGAATATCTGCTTGGAAGGTATGCAATGGACATCCTCAAAGCCAGGACACGTGCAGCATCTCAACTCGAAGTTCAAAAAGCTATACAGACCTCTCTATCATTTAGTTGGAGGGGGGGGGGTGGTTTTATGCAGAGCAACGCCATAATGTGAAAACAGCAAAGCACCTCACAGTAGTTAAATGATGCATGTCAATGTCAATGAAGGATCCTCAAACAGATTGATTTCAAGAATGACGCTATTTAATTGAATCCTGCCAAAGGAATTTCCGGATCCTTCAAATTTTACCAGCAATGTGGTCCGCTTTTGAAAGACACAACCCTTTGTTCGTGGCCTCCTCCCATTATTCAATTCCACAAAGAGCTTGAGCATTGTACGGGTGAAAGAAAAACAATTAGTGTTGTATGTTTTCAGCATTTTTGGCCACGACATTCGTCAAAGAGGAAGAATCTGTGCTTGGTGATTGAGCCTTCTCGGAAGCACACGTGTACCAGCACTGATTTTGATTGGGAGGAATGTCGGCGCCATTTGACTGTCGTTGCTGGACAGCTCCGGGGTGCTTGTGTCTTGCGCCTGAAATAGGCAGCATTTTCACAGCCCCGCTTTGTTCAGGGAAAAGGTCGGTGCTGATGGACAGTCTGCGGCTGGATGGATGCATGGCTTGCGCCGACGATGAGAAGAAAGGAGCGTCAGCGCAGAGCGCCGATGCGTATGTGGAACTGGGAGTCGCGGCTTGGAATTGAAGCGGATTTACATGGGACAGGAGAAGAGAGCCAATCTCTCTTTTTCGTGAATGGATGCTACAGCTTCTTGTTGCTTTCAAGCTTAGCTTGTAGCAGACGTGTGCACATTTCAGCAGGACGTCTTTGATCCACTGGTGAAAAGGACACTTTGATTTGCTCCTCTTTCATCTATTACTGCTTCAAACAACAAAGTGAATGGAGGAAAAGTGGTTAAGATGGCACACTATCTGTTTTATGTGTTGTGTTGTATTATTTTGTCATTTTATGTTAAGTGTTCTTTTGATGGCGGCGCGGGCACCCGCAGCGGCTCCTCTTGTTGTCTGTTGTCTGTTTAAGAGGGAGGAAATTTCATCTGTGCTGTATGTTCTACATACAGCACATTTGACAATAAAGTTGTACTTGATACTTGATGTTGGACAATTTGGTAAGTTTTCTTTGACTTGTTCTGTGTGGCATGAAGATTAGCAATCGCATCCTAATCAACGCTACGATGCTATCATAATGCTGTGCAACAGCTAGCCTATATGTTTCATATAAGTCAGTCTGATTATGTCCACAGGAAGACAATTGACATCTCACAATCAACGTTTTTGTCCAAAAGAAAGAAAATTCCAAGGCTTGCATTAATACAACCTGACATTATTTACCCGATAATTCAAGGACATTTTCTGAAATCATGGCACTGAACTGAAAAGAGGACTTTCCGAACCTGTGTAAACTAGGAAGGATTCTTCCCCTGTTCCTTTTGGCAGGGGGCCCTCCTCCTCACAAGGAATCTATGCCTTGACCAGCTGACATACGCGTCTGATCGTTTATTATTATGTTCATTATCTATCTATCCACACTTTGCATGCATTTAAATCCCAATAAGCATCCCCCTTAGATATTTCTTACTTATTTCATCTTATTTTGTTCCATTTTTTTTTTTTACAAGTCTTATTAGGCTAAGCTGGGACCTCAGGTCTCATATTTCCTGCCATTTAATTTGTAAATGTGTAGAAATTCCTTGGAAAGAACCACTGGAAAATGAATTAACAACAAAGTAAAAATATTATTGGATATATTACAATAATATCAATGAAAACAATGAATAATGAAAAATAAATACCGTGTCTGTTTGCCACACCAGTTGGCCTCTTTGAGGGCAGTGTGGCGCCGTGCATGCATGGAATACACACTTGCCGATGTCGATGCTAATAACCTGTTAGCATGCCAGTGGGATTTTACATTGACTTTTGCAATGAGCACTACAAATGGTTTTAAAATGAAGCATGTCTCGTATTCAAATATACAACGTGAGTAATTATTTTTCTTTGCTCATTTAGTTTTACAATAAACCCCAAATGGAGTGTCACTTTAAAGCACGCTCAGGCAAGGCAGAATCTCACATGCACACACGCATGCACGCACACACACGCACACGCACACACACACACACACACACACACACACACTTCACACGCTCGCTGTGCAAGTAACAGGTGCATTCAGGGTAACTTGCACAATCCCGGCAACTTGCACACACACACCACGTTGTTCGGCACATTGATCATTTCTATTTAATTTGGACGTTTTTAAGATCAAGAGAATCCAAAATCCAAATCGGGATTAAATTTCGACGAGTTGCCCAGCCCTTGTGGCTACTATGGTTTATCGGCACACAGACCTCCAGATGTTTGCTTTTCATTTGGTGCGCAGGTGTCTCTACATCTCCGCTACAGCTGTTGGCACAAGAGCCTGTTACCTCTCAAAGGACTGTGGGTGTATGTCCAGGCATATGGCATTAAACCTTCGTCTGTTCTGACAGCCAAACATCATCATTCCACATGCAGGTTTTGGCCCGAGATGAAACTGCAACCGAATGCCAAAAAACAAACAAGCTACAGGATCTGCCAGACTGCTACGAAGGTAAAACTGGTGTTGGAGATGATGTAACATGAAATGATTTCATGAGAACGGCTTCATTAGAACATTTATAGCCTTTGTACTCTTCCAAGAAATGGAACCTTACAGTAAATCAGGAAGACGATGTGTCGGTATGTATGCCAAGTGCCAACTATTGAGTAAACTATTCTTTGTCAACACGGGGGAGAAAATGCGAACGATTAGATGGCTTTCACATCTTCAAAGTGAGGGTTGCTGCTGGTGTGGGTCAAAGACACGATTCCCCGTTGTTCCGTCAGGATATGACTACATTTCAATCACCCTGGGGATGTGTAATCTTGTGATCACAAGATGTTTATAAACATGGAATAAAACAACTGTTTGTGTTTCCACTTCATTTCTTCACCCAAACTAGTGGAATTCATCAACGTTTTCAGACGATTGTCAGAGGGAAACACAGCTATTAAGCTGTGATGCCCGGAATGTGGTCTCACTCACGATGCCCTCATGTTGAATTCCAGGGATAATTATCTAAAACTGCAGAACAGTGGAGAAACCCAACCACAAAATTGCAGTTGAAAGTCAAGGTAAAACTGAGGGACACAGTTAAGATGCACAGCTGGTGGGGACTCATTGCTGTTGTATTGGCAGCACACACTTTATGCATCCCTAAAAATGGCTTCTGATTCACAAGGAATGGTCAAACCTCAGGGAATTCGATCAGCCGGGCGAATACGGAAAAATGTGTGTCATCATTTGCGCATTCTAAAGACAACCAATGTGGCAAGGGAAGCTTCGAGCTGGCTATGCGATGTGCAGATTAAGCAATTCCAAGTTGGTCCGATTTGTAGTCTCGCCCGGCATTGCGAGTCTTTTGGAAACGTAGCAATCAGCATTTTTCAGCTTGTGACCGGTTTTAGAGTATCGCTTTCACATTAATGTGTAAGGTGTCTGAAATTTTTCTGACAGAACGATGGTCTTGCACGGTTGCAGCTGAGTTAACACAACAGTTTTCAGTTCGAAGAACCTCTACCACACTGTGCCCACAAAAAGTACATGGACAATAGAAACAACGGAAGCGATCCTAAAATGACCAAAATTGGCGCTCCTGCCACCAGCTTTCCCGCAAGGTTGCAGATTCATATAAAAAAAAAGCTGAGATGCAACTCGTCACTGGTGACAGCCCACCCGGGTGCCGCCACTGCATGTAGGCTGGACTCGGTGCCCCATCAAGCAGAATTTTTGATTGCTGTTAACAGGACTCCAGATGTTTTAACATCTGTTGTCTGCAGGACTTTGAAGGCAAACATCTGAGCAGGATGAAAAAAAAAAAAGAAAGAAAATACAATTGTTGTAACGTGCAGAATACTCAGTGCCTTAACAAAAATGTGGAGACAAGAGTGAGTTGGGCATGATGTAGAATACAGGTATTTGCATTCTTCTTCAGATTCAAATTACATCACTCTTATCCACAAACTTGAGGGGAAGATGCGGCCAGGAGAAACATTTTACTGTTCTGAATCATGCAGATCTGCTGTACAGCTGGGAGTGACTGATATCGGAGGGCATACCACCTGGGTCTGTTGAAGGCAGGCTGGTGTTTGCGTTCGTTGTGAGATCACATGACCAAAATCATCTGCTCTCGTCTGGAAAGAATTCAACCTCATGACCAGTGCGGATAAAAAAGGGATCTACTGAAAATCGGAAAATCAAACACATTTCCTGTAAAAATCCAATTTTGGATGTAGTTTGAGTGGAATGATCCAATAAAATAAGAGATATCTCATGAGTGAGATAAAGGGTGTTCCCCAAGTCTTGCCCAAATTCAGCTGGGCTAGGCTGCAACTCACACCTGACCCTCATGAGGACAAGCGGGAGAGAAAATGAATAGATGGACAGATGATCAGTATGCGTGATATAGCGGCTGTTCCAGCTAACAATACATTTCATAATATACTGTATACAGTTGTTTTGAAATGTTGGAACGGGCAGTATTCTGCTCAGTTGCTAAGTGGAAAAGTCAATCAGTGCTACTGGCCGCATAGTGGCAAAACACTACCAAATCCTTCCAAACATTTCCCATACTGCTTGTCGTCATTGCGGTTGCGGGTAGCTGACAGTCTTTCTTAGCAGAATTGGAGCATGAGGTGGAATACACTTTGGAATGGTTGCCATTCAACTGCAGGGTGCCTGTAGACTAGCAACAAAGAATGTTCACATTCATGCCGACAATAAATTTAGAGTCTTCAATTAACCTAACATGCATGCTACCCCCCCCCCCCGCCCAAAAAAGAAACACCAAAAACTGTCCTTTGGGATTGATTTACACTCAACCCTCAATAATCTATTTCAAATCCACAAAGTGATCTTGGATGTACTTGAAATGTGGTCTATGAAGGTGTTTTCAACCAAGCCTCAATCCTTTTGCTGAGCTGCTACGATACAATGCTCCAGTTTCCCAAATATTTACTTGTACCGTGTTGGCACGATGATAACAAATGGATGACAGGAGCAGCGAAAACTGTTGCCTCTGAGATCCAAATTCAAATAAATGCCCACATGAGTTTTAGCAGTTATATGAATCATACTACCGTATTGGCCCGAATATTCGACGGTGTTTTTTGCATTGAAATAAGACTGAAAAAGTGGGGGGTCGTCTTATATTCAGGGTCTAGACATTATACCCATTCACGACGCTAGATGGCGTCAGATATCAATGAAGCGAATGCTGAACTTGACTCCCCAGGCCAAAGTGAACCCCTGCCACGGAGAATAAAAATAAAAATATTGGTAGCACGAAGAAGAAAAATAAAAAAATAGTGGTAAGAAGGAAAAGAGAAGAAAATAATAGAAGAGATAACAGAAAATGGAGAAACGTAGTGACAATCTGGAGAAAAGTGGGTCGAAGATAGGCCAGGTTAACGGCAGCTGAGGAGAAGTTATGATGTAATTTACATTTAAAAAATCAGAAGCCATTCATTTACGAATGTGATTGCACTTTAGATTTGAATGAGGCAAAATAACATGCTTTTTCTCTCAAATATATTGTTATAATCATTTGTTTCAGATGTACTGTAATTATTTTCTGTATAAAAATTAATTTGGTGTTCAAAAAGTCTTTTTTCAAACTTGAGTCTTGAAAAAGAGGGGGTCGTCTTATAATCAGGGCCGTCTTATATTCGGGCCAATACGGTATTTCTGTTTTATAGGAGGCGCGTCATCCCTTGTTTCACATTGTTGCGTATCTACACTTTAAATCGTTGTGATGCCTTTGATGAAGACTTAAGTGAAAAATCCATTGAATAATGTTTCGGCATCCAGAAAGGACTCTTCAAAGGCAAAGTCTCAAAAGCTAACAAGTGCGGCAGCTGCGTCCGAACGCCACATGCTCCTGTTTCTCCAACTATGTAAACTGTGGGATGTGTAATCAGAGTTGTTTAATGCAGACATCTGGATAGGACGGCATCACAGCGCGGTTAAATATTTACAGCTGGGCTACAGTCTTTTATAAAGCATCATGAAGCATCAGCATCTGGACTGAATACCAAGCCCATCTCCTCAGATTCAGCCGACGAAAGCTCTCCTATCCAAAATCGACTTAGCGAAGGACACAGGAGAGTCATTCAATCGTCTCAGCTTAGCGGTTCATTTTGTTTCCTTCAAGCAAAATGTTACAAAACAAACGCCTCCGTTGTTGTCTTGTACTGCAACCGGCAGGGTCTGTGTCTGCACTGTCGGATATAAAGGTCTTTCGGTTTTTTGTTGTCCCTTACATTGCTATTATACTCCAGGGTAATGTCCTACCATTTCCAGAGATAAAACGATGCAGGTACTTTCCCAAACTGAAAGTATCAAAGGTAGAAAACACCCAAGAACTACTATTATTCTGCACCTTCAAATGATACTTGCGGTCAGTGTAAAAAGGTTGCATAACCACCAACAATGGAGGTATTTGAGAGTGGAGCAAAACTTCACACCTTGCTCCTTTTGTGCTGCTGAACCGAGGAGAGTAAAAGGGTGGGTTGTTTCTGAAGCCAATGACAACATAATGAACATTAAATTGACTGTTGCCTGTCCAGAAAATGTAAGGTGAAGCTGGCGCCAGTCCCAGGCGGCTCGTCGACGTGCCAATGAATGCACATCAAGCCTCGGACTCTGCACCTGCTCGTAGGTGATGTGTTTATTTGGCTGAGTGCCTGCTCCAGCACTTCGACATAACCTTCATTGCCAAGTCAACCTTAAGCTTGTCCATCAATCTTTTCAGTCAGGAGGATCTCTGACAGCAACACACTCGACGTTGAATACTGGTTCAGCTAGAATAAAGCAAGAGTGCAGTGCAACCTCCAAAGACTCCCAAAGTTACGAGGCTTTCCACGATAAGGATTTTGCATCTTAAAACAAACGATCACCTCTCACTGATCTGATCTGAAGATGGACCAATCTATCCAAATCAATTTAAACAACTTGTTGATTTACTGTACAGTTGACCCTCGCACAGGAATAGCCAAAATTGACGCCCATTGGAATGCATTGGGAGACAAAAACAATTAATCACAAAAACTCCTCCCCAAAACACTGATAAACATTAAGTACATGGAAAATAAGGAGGCGGTCAAACCCCCACACCCCCACCTCCTAAACTCCCTAAATTATTTTTAAAAATCCAACTGTATAATGATGAGAAACCCTGGATTATTAGAAGTACCAAGAACTAAACGGAGGCTTAGAGGGGATCGAGCCTTTTCCGTTGCTGGGCCCTCTCTCTGGAATGACCTCCCACTGAACATTCGGCAAGGCCCTTCGCTGCCCATCTTTAAAACCCGCCTCCAAACTCACTTGTATTCTTTGGCATTTGACTCAGCATGACTCAGACTTGATCTTAGTTTTACTGTTTGGTGCTTTCTATCGTCTTTGTTACCGATTTATTGATTTATTGTTGTACAGATGATAGTTGCTCCATGTACAGCACTTTGTATGCAGCGATGGCTGTTTGAATGTGCTCTATAAATACAATTGACTTAAGTTGAGTTGAGTGGATTATTCACCATGGCAGCATAGGATGTCTCTGCAGTGATTTTGTGTGTGCCGTCATGTCAATCAATGACGTCACTGATCAATCGGCAACTTACAAACTTTCACCAATTTTACATCAAATGCAAACTCTCCGCTGATCCGATCTGTGTAAAGTCTTGAAGTAACAATTTCGACTTCAGGCAAATTGCAACCGTTATAATGAACAGGAAACACATTTGTCCCAAGGCAAACATTTACGGTGCTGATTATCATGACACAATGTTCAATATCAATTAATTATACAGTAGATACTGAAAAAGAAACAACAAGTGTAACAATGTTCTTATTTTGCCTTGAGACAATATTGACTAATTTGCCAGTCTGGTGACTTTAAAGGGCGAGCAGTTCAATAATTTGTTTTATTGCCCAATGGTGACCATATCCTTCTGGGATGACAGCTGAGTTTGTTCAACTTTTACTTCAAAATTGCCGTAGTGGTTTTGCATTGAGACAGTGTGAAACTGGACCTGATACTGTAATTGGTATTGACATGATTTGCCATGTGGACAACCTGGTTTTCACAGAACGGCTGGTGTTCCATTTGGAAGGTTCCACTGCACAATTCATGTCAATGAGTGTCTGTCATGTGCACAGGAGGAGTCAGTTTGTGTCTCTCAAGATAAAATATGTACTCCATGGACTTCGAGGGGACATGTTCCACTCATGTCCAAATAGGTACAGGTAATGTTTGTTTCCAAACGGTGGCAATTTCAGGCCCTGAAAGTACAACTATGTACTTTTCCCCCAAAACAGTGACAGAAAGAAAGAAAGATGCCATTGACAGCTCGCACTCAAAAACTCTCTCTGTGCTTAAAGAAATTGCTCCTGCCCTCTTTAAGAATTTACCTCGGGGTCATCTGCGGAGCGGCTGCTGCGGGGTTCGAACCGCGGGGGGTCGGGCGGGAATACCCCAGACACGGTGTTGCCCAGGTCGCTGCCCGCTAGTGTCAGCATGGAGTCTCGCTTCTGGTGGATTATTTCCCTTTTGACCTCGGAGCGCAGGTCCACATAGCAGACAAGCGTGACCGCGTGCAAGGAGAGTGACAGCAGAAATAATCCGAGGAAGACGACACTGGTGCTCCGACTCCGGCAGTTGGCGCTGCATGTGCAGGGCTCACCTCTGGGCATCGCTTTTCCCGTGAAACCATCCACGGGCATTACATCGCGTGCCATCATTGGACAGAGCGCACGCAAGTCAGATGCTCTTTAACTCGGCATAGTCAGCCGCGGCTATATATTTACGTGGAGACTCATCCGTGCAGCAGCAACAGCAGCGGCGGCGGCTGCAGGTCAGTGCGAACTTCGTCCAGTATCTGTAGTAACCCTGGGGGACACGCCCCCTCACATCTGATTGGTCGATGGATCAGCCAAACTCTGGAAAGCCGGCAGCAGCAGAACAAGTAATGGGGCGACATCAAACGGATTTATTGTGTTACTGCAATGCGTGGAACTGATTCCATGATGTGAGAAGAACCCCCCCTTGGTTTGTTATTCATAGTGACATGGAAACAATATTAGCGACCACAAGTTTTAATTTGTGGTCTATTACATGAGTGTGGACACGCCAGAGTGGTAACTGATGCCATGCATGTTGTTTGTGCAAGCTTCAACTTGCTATTGATCAGTTTCGGCACCTTGTTTTTGTGTTCCTCTCTGTGGATGGTTCAAATGCAAACCTTTGGACAAGTGTGACTGAAAATAATTTATTGTTATTAGTTTATTTGGTTTTGGGTTGTGGTGACGTGGGGAAGGGTCACTTGTTTTGTTGTTTCCTCAACTATGATGGACTCCGCCTACTTGTGGTCGATGTGGTATCTCACTGAGCGGTGAAAGCGTGCGAGTGTTTGTGCACGGTCGGATGTTTTTTTACCCGCCAGGGGTTCATTCAAGGTCAAGAAAAATGGTTTGCGAATGTCTTTGGTAGGAACATCTTTGACACCTTGAACAAACCCTGAAAAAATGGGGGGGGGGGGATTAGTGAACGTTTATCAACGGTTTTGGAAAACATTGGGTAAACAATAAATAAATAAATAAATAAGCGCACGCACGCACGCACGCACGCACGCACGCACGCACACACACACACACACGCACAATATTCCAATTAATTTCAGCGGCCGGCAATTGTATATGAATTTCCGCTTGTGGTGGGATGGCCTCACACCCATAAATAACAAGGGTACATTCTATCGTTGTAAATTGCATCACCACTCATGTCTCCATGGACGTTATTACTGGTTAGGAAGTAGGTAGTCCTAAGTAGTCCCCCATATACAAGTACAATGTTTCCCAACTTTTATTGAGCCACTGCACTCATTTTACACGATAAAATATCACCGTACCACGATCACTGCTTTGACTCCAATATGCAGTTTTTATAAACTAAAGCAGCTTTGTTCTCGTAAAATGTAGCAGGTTTGATTTTTGACACAAGAGGTACCGTGCCCCAGTCTATCCATGACTTTACATAGCAATGCGTGAAGAACAACATTTTGGGCCTTGATTGATTACCGGTGTGGGTTACTTATTTGGAAACTGTTGGAAAATATTCATGTCATTTGGAATGAACCATGAAACAATATGTGATATCGACTTACACGGCACATACTGAGTAATTGTGTGTTTTGAAGAAAAATAGGAATATGATGATATGAGATGAAAAGCTGCTCCATGTCTGGGGGATATTCTCAGCATGGAGTTGATTACTTTAAGAATGCTGCAGTCTCTGGGGCAATATATTGCGGTTCATTTTGTTCAGACTGTCATTAAGTCACTGTCTGTTTCTCATCTTTGTGATGTCTCCTTAAAAAAAAAAAAAAAAAAAAAAAAAAGTGTTTCTAGTCAGCTGCCACTGAAGGGCAGCATTGCCAAGCCGTAAATCAATTACACTGCATACCAGTATCATGTTTAACAGAATTTACAATTTAGCTTAATTGATGCAAGATTGATGATGTGAAAACAGCACGTTTTTTTTTTTACATACAGAGATATAGTTGCATGCAGCTTCTTTTTGGAATACTCTTCGAGCTTCACCCCGCTCTTCCTTCCTTTTTACAATTGAGGAAGAAAAAGTGGATTCAAAGGCAGAGAAAAGTAACCCTCACAGGCGCCGTTGAGTGAGTGAGGGCTCAACCCAAGCGCGTTTGTTACGCTCTTCGTCTGAGCGGCACGCACAGTGACTGCGAGAAGTGGTACATTCACAATAGACAGTGCATTTATTCCTCTGTTTTTATATTAACATATTCAGGGAAATCTACGTCAAACATAGTGACACATTATTAATCAACCGACTGTATTTTTCTGTTTCGTCGGTCAGAAACAAGGGACACAAAATATCAGCAAGAATGTGACAGCTGGCTGTCTTTTTTTTTTTTTCCTTTGAGGCAATAGCAAGCAGGAGTATGGGTAATTCCTTTTCCATCCGCGGGGCTTCTATGCAGCGTGTATAAATGGTGTGCCACGATCCTCTCTGAGCTTATAACAAGATTTAGAGGCTTTCCCTGCCAGATGAGGTTTGTAGAATAGATATGTTACATTCTGGCATGAAGAGTTTTGGGATGGGCCGAAGCTCACTAATGGAAGATGATGCTTGCCTTGGTCCCAGCGATGAGGTGCTATACATCATCGTCTTCCTTGGTGAAAATTGTCTAAACCCTAGAATGAACGTCTAATTGCCATTATAAGGACACATATCAGTGAAGTGATTCATGGCAATGAAGTGACTGCTCAGTAGCCTTTGTTTCGCACACTGGATTGGCGAGGTGACTTTTCATTCAATGCTTCCAAATGTTGTGTAGATGTAACTTTGTCTCAATAATGAACCAAAGCAGTCATTTTCTCAGGAGTTGTAAATGAAAGCAGCATAATTCTCCATTGCTTCCACCCACCTGTTTTTCCAGCGCTCACCTGCCTTTACGTCGTCTTCCGATCTAGCTCATTATACTAATCACTGGCAGCACACAACTTTCCCGTATCCTTATCATGGTTTGTGTATCCAATTATACTGCTTGATTATTTACTCATTACAATCTCACGCATTGGTTCACTGCAGGTTATCTTACTTGTTTGTCTCTGGTTTTGAAATGGAAAAACGTGACACATTTGAGTTATTTGGAAATAATCCGCCGGGATGATAGTTATGGTCTCTTTGTTCCCAGGATGTTTGCCATGATGCTCTTCGGGCTGGTATTGGGCTATCACGTCCTCTCTGCCAGCTGCAATAAAACCATTACCACCCGAATCAAAGCTTCTTAAGTCACGGCCAAATCAAGAGAAGCACCTCAGGTGAACCCAGAGGTAATCTAGCCTTCAGCCTATCTATTTTCATCATCTTTCCAGTGTTCTATTTGGTTATATTTTCACCAGCAATAAATTGCAATTGCAGTGTCACCCTCTTCATTTAACTTCTGGATCCTCAGCGTAATCATTTCATGAGAGGTCTCACACGCAAAGGTCAATGTTTTCCATGTTCTCTCCAAGACCACACAACTTTATTTATTTATTTCCGAAGCCAGTAACTGTGCACTTTTCCACACACCTTGTTCTTTCTCCATCGATCACGCTCATATTCTCAATTCAGATACCTCCACATTCCAACAGTCATTGTTGGAGAAAAAAAAAGTCTGTTGTGCACTTTATATGTTGTGAGTGTTCACCTGCACTCTACAAGATGAACGACTTCAGCTTTCAGGCTGGGAGATGGCCGCAATGCGTTAAATGTAACAATCAGGCTTCCTCGACACAGCTGAACAGACGGGCACAAAAAATGTGAATGGTAGTGCGAAAAGGTCAGCCAAAGGAAATAATTGCTGTGTTCACCAGAGAGAAGATATAATCTCAAATTTGTTGTTTGTAGCAAAAGAGCAACATATTTAATTGGCCATGCGGGCAGCAGGGCACGGGTTCAATCAGTGGAATTGAACTAATTCGTTTTAAAGCGCACACTTGGACTGCCTCTCTCACTGCGAGGACCATTGTGTGTCGGGAACGACAAACAACACTCTCTGGGCACCTGTGACACTTTCTAGCAAAAGCTATGGAAGGCAAACGAACAAACAGTGGTTAATCCATCTTTTCCTGACGAGACTGCTTTGCGAGGGTGGGACAATGCTTCACCTCTGTTTTCCAATTTTGGCAGTCTCATTGTTGTGGCTTTACGGTGCACAGCGGTCCATTGCCCATTAATATTCAGCAGAGGTTAAAAAAACAAATCTTCATCTCAGGAATGCATGCATAAAGGTGACTTATGATCAGTCGTGCTATTCCGCAGTTTTGCTTCATGTGACTTCTTTCAAGGTGTAACTTGATATTTTCAGAAAGCAGCAGGCAGATCCCCACCTGCCTTGGAAGTGACTAAAATGCATAACTTGTCAAGAAGTTCAATGTAATTCATTTGATGTTCTGCATGCTTTGATTCTGAGTGATTTATGGTTTTATGAAAAGAAAGAGCAAGTCATTTGACTATTGTTTCATCAATTAATCATCTCAACGTGGACCCCAGAGCACACTCCTCTTTCGTTCTGTAGAAAGAGCACCAAAATCCACACTCATGAAACCATGATGTACATGTGCTTGGCAGAGGTCATAAAGTACCAAAAAAAACACTCAAGAGAAACTCGCCTTCGCAATGAATGACGTTATTTAGATTGCGGCTGAACGCCAAGAGACATTGTCGTCATGCTTGGTTTTCTGTCTGAGAGACATTGTTGAAGCCAACCTGCTTGAGGCCCACAATGGAAAAGGGTCATATCAAGTGCGATTTGGCGCCCTATTTAAACTCGTTCAAAATGTAAATCCTTGCAACTGGGCACAGCCAAAAGTGACAGTGGAAAAGAAAACTCATCTGATTTGCTCTTACTCATTTTCCCCCCCTACCACATTTCATGCTGAAGTGATTGCACAGTTCAAAGGCTCAACACCAGGCAAGCATATGTTATTCCATCTTAAAATAACAATGCAGATGCCACTATGTCATTCCACCACTTGAAATGTGGCACTGTCATGCTTTTGTAGACAAGGCTGCGGAAATCAACTTGTTGAAAAGGAAATAACCCTCTTCTGATCCTACTGTATTTAAAGTTAGTCCACACTCTAGTGTGGATAGCAAACGTCACCTGTTCTGAAGCTGAAATATAGAACATAACATTATTATTGCTGTCGCAGAAAAGTATCTAAACAGCCTTCTGTTGATTGGTCAGAGGAGAAGTCATTGTCATTATTATGAGACAAGGTTTCTCCATTGTGATAGTTCCTATTACCTGCTTGTGAAGAACAATTAACCAGAGTTTTTGTTGTCAACAGAGCGCTAGAGCTTACA